TAAAAATATCTGTGATTTCTTCCAGTGAAAAAGTCATAAGGATGGCTAATATTCCAGTGTTTTGTTGCCCACATTCATGATTGAAGGAAATAGTCCATTTCAGCTAGAGGTTAATGAAAATAGAGAGATATATATTTTTTTCTCATTTAAATTCACAGACCCTGTTCTAGTACCTACCTAGATATAGTACAATCACCTGAGATCCATTCTGGCTTTTAGAGCCTGGATTTGAGTCTCAGCTTTGCCCCTTATTATCTGGGTGACCTAGATTAAGCCATTTCCCTTCTCTGAGCCTCAGTTTCCTCACCTGGAAAATGAAGGAATTGGACCAGATCCTTTCTGAGGTTCCCACTAGATCCTCCTCCTCCATAATTCCATGAATACTCTCGATGAGTGAGTGAGATAAACAGCACTGCAACCTAAGATGAGCTCTAAGGTGAACCAACAGCAGATTCTCCCAGGCCGATACTCTACAGAGGAGTGGGACCTGCTAGGCCTTCTCAGCTGGGCTCTTCCTGCCCAGCCCAGCCCTAGCCCAGGTGTCAAGGACTGTGCCCCACTGACCGTTCAAAGCGCATGACTTTGGCCAGGAGCAGCTGCATTGGCTCCGTGTGGTTCCGGTAGCTATCTAGAACCTGCAAGATGTTACAGAGGGCCTGGATCTCGTGCTCTGTCCTCCAGGAAGGCTTCTTCTGCATGATGTTTATAGCCCTTAGAGGGAAGTGACCCTGGGGAGAGAAGGCCAGAGTGACACAGAGGACCCAGCAGTTCCCCCCATGAGCTGGTTGGCCACTCCCCACATCCCTGCTTGTGCTCTTTCCTGTCCCCTACACAAGAGTGGCTGACATGTGATGAGTGCTTACTGTGTGCCAGGCATCGAGATAAGCATCTTACATGCCCATCTGTCTCTTCACTGGCCCAAGAACCATCATTCCCATTTGACACATTAAGAAATTCAGGCAGGATTATAAGCAGATCTGCCATATGCCAAGGCCCAAAACCGCTCCACTCTGGGTTCTGGGGGCCCTGCAAGGTCCTCTCAGCACATGCACACTGTGGTTAGGGGAGACCTCCCCGCTTGTCTTAGCCTAGATCTCGGCATGCTACAGGAGACTGAGGAGCAAAAAGACCCTTCCAGAGACTATTAGCTAAACCTTTTCTTCCCTAGTGAACCAGGATTCATGGACCAGCACATGGTCGGATCTACGACTCCCACCTGCTGGAGAAGTGGGACTGTGAATCGTTAACACCTCCAATGGCTTCCCTCCAACCTCATCTCCTACCTCTCCCCTTCCTTCTCTATTCTCGAGCTTTCCGTCTATCCCTGGCATGTGCTAAGCTTGGTTCTGTCTTGAGGTCTTTGTGTGGGCTGTTTTTTCTGCCTGGAATGTTCTTCCCCTGGATTTTCATGTGGACATGGCTGACTCATCATTCTGGTCTCAGCTCATATATGGCCACATCCTTAGTGAGTCCCCACTGGATCATCTGAGCTAAATGAGGCCCCTTCCTCAGCACTCTGTGGGTTCTTGCTAAGGTTTGAATGTCTCCTCCAAAACTCATGGTGAAATTTAATTGCCATTATGACATTATTTAAGGGGTGGGACCTTTAAGGGGTGATTAGGTTATGGAGGCTCTGCCCTAATGGATGGATTAATGCTGTTATCATTTGAGTGGGTTAGTGATCACAGGAGTTCAGCCCCATTTTTCTCTCTGTATTGCTCACACTCACTCTCTCACACATTCTCTCTCACCATGTGATACCTTTTGTCATGTTATCATGCAGTAAGAAAGCACCATATGCGGCCCCTAAATCATGGACTTTCTAGCCTCCAGAACCATGAGCCAGGTAAACTTCTATTGATTATAAATTACCCAGTCTGTGGGTAATTCTGTTATAGCAGCAGAAAATAGACTAAGACATCTCTGGGGTTTTTTGTTTGTTTGTTTTTAAGTGATGAATGAACATTTATTGAACACCTGTTCGGTTGCTAAAGCATGGTGTTGAGTGCTTTGCATATATTATCTTTTTTTTTTTTGAGACAGAGTCTCACTGTGTTGCCCAGGCTAGAGTGCCATGGCGTCATCCTAGCTCACAGCAACCTCAAACTCCTGGGCTC